CAGGAAAAGAAAAATTGCTTTAAAATTTTAAGGGAGCACAAGAAATCAATCCAGCAGCTGCTAGATGATGCAAAGAAAAGTGACATAAGACTGATTAGAGTCAGTGAAGAAACAGGAGAGAGTGCAGATGACATAAAAAAATTGTTCACAGAAGTGATGGCAGAAAACTTCCCAAGAAGGGGAAAAGAATTTGACCTACAGATAAGTGAGGCATATAGGACTCCAACTAGCCTTGATCAAAACAAATCTATACATAGGGATATAATTGTTAAGATTCCAGAAATCCAACAGAAGAATAAAATTCTACAAGTAGTTAGAGAAAAGAAACAAATCACATACAAAGGAAAGTCCATCAGAATCACAGCAGACATCTCAGTGCAAACACTTAAGGCAAGAAGAGCTTGGAGTGATGTGTTTCAAGCCCTAAAGGAAAACAACCTCCAACCCAGATTGATGTACTCTGCCAAACTATCTTTCAAAATTGACAGTGAAATAAGATACTTTCATGACAAAGAGCACCTTAGGAACTTCATAAATACCAAACCAGCACTCCAAGAAATTTTGGACAAAATTCTAGGAAAACACAATGAGGACCACATCCTCAGGAAGCCCAGCAGAATGAATACACCAGACAAGACAAGAAATTAAAAGCAAAGGGGAGGATCAAACAAAAAGAAAAAGTCATGACAATGATAACTCAATACATATCACTTATAGCCATCAATGTTAATGGTCTCAACTCACCAATCAAAAGAAACAGACTGGCAGAGTGGGTCAAGAAGCAAGATCCAACAATATGCTGCATAAAAGAAACACACTTAATTCAAAAAATACTTATAGACTGAAAGTTAAAGGATGGAAAACAATACTCCATGTGACAGAAACCCAAAAAAAAGCAGGAGTAGCTATCCTCTTTGCAGATCAAGTGGATTTACACCCCTCACTGATTAAGAGAGACAAAAAAGGACACTATATCCTTGTAAAGGGAACAATCCAAGAGGAAGAGATGACAATCATAAATATCTATGCATCAAACACTAGGGCACCCAACTATATAAAACAAATACTAATGGACATGGAAAACCATATAAGCACTAATACAATAGTAGTGGGGGACCTCAATACCCCACTCTCACAAATAGATAGATCAACTAGACAAAAAACAAGCAATGAAATTCTAGAACTCAATCAAACTCTTGAACATATGAATTTAACACATGTTTACAGAGTGTTTCACCCTACAAAATCAAAATACACATTCTTTCAGCTGCACATGGGTCATTCTCCAAAATAAACAACATACTCACTCATAGAACATATTTAGGTAAGTGCAAAGGAACTGAAGTTATCTGCTTTATATTATCAGACCATAGTGCAATGAAATTGGAGATCCATAGCAAAAGAAACTGGAAACATTTCATAAACATGTGGAAATTGAACAACACACTTCTGAATAACCAATGGGT